CACACACACACAAATAAATAAATAAAATTTAAAAATAAAATAAAATAAAAAATTATCTTTCCTTCTAGCACTCCAGTGCTCAGCCCTGTGGACCAGGACCAGGCTGCCAGGTCAGCCAGTGGGATCATGTTCAGGTTCCCAGAAAAGGTGGATCCAGGGTCCCTGTCTATCATCACATTAATTTTTTCAAAGTAGAGATGAAAGTAGGCTGTATTACTTAGCTTGCTCATTTTGGGCTAGCAGAGAGATGGCCTATAATATCCCTGTATACTAGCCAGTCTTCTGCCACTGTAAGAAAATACTTGAGATGGTTAAGTTGTGAAGAGAAAAGGTTGAGGCTGAGGGTGTAGTTCATGTTTAACAGGCAGAAGCCCTGAATTCAATCCCCAGCACTGGGGCTGGGAGGGAGGGAAAGGGCGACATGGAGAAAGACAGGCACACACAAAAAAGAGGTTTATTTTTGGCTCACAGTTGTGGAGGTTCCGGTCCAAAGTTGAGTAAGCTGGACCTGGTGTTCCCGGCCTGAGGTGAAGTAGCAGGCGATGGGAGCCTGTCTGTGGCGGAGCCGAACCATTTGCCTCTTGGCCGGGAAACAGAGCTGGCGGAAGCTGGGGCCCACCAAGCCCCTTCAGGGCCACTTCCCTGAATACCTCGCTTCCTCCCAAAGCTCCCGCCTTTTAAAGGCTCCCCACCTCCCCCAAGTACCACCCTGGGGACCGGCCCTCATGGGCCCCCAGGGGAACCCTGAGATCCACATTATGGTACCATCTAAAAAGATGTTAGGATTGATGTCCACCACTAGGGGGGACGGAGAGCGGCCACAGGGCAGGAAGGGCTTGGCCTAACAGTGCCTAGAACATCTATGGACGGTGTTTAAGTGTTTGTATGGTATTCAAGTGTTCACCAAACTTCAAACTGCAGATGTTCTCCTAACATCTGAACCAATTTTTGCCCACATCTACACAGTATATTAAATTAGAATTTTCCCTTAAGTTACCTCATTCTTTTTGCCTGTTTTTTTATCCTGTCATGCTGGTGTTCAAACCAGGGCCTCCCGTGTGCTAGACAAGGCTCTACTACTGAGCTACACCCACAACCCAATTTAAGTAATTTTAAAAGGATGTTACGGGCCAGGGATATAGCTCAGTGGCACAGCGCCTGCCTGGCAAGCACAAGCCCCTGAGTTCAATTCCCAGTACCAAAAAAAGGAAGTTACATCACTGTCATGAATGTAAAATTAAATTTGTGATGTGCTCATTAATTTCCTCAGTAGATATTAAAATCAGTGCCTGTTAAACACACACACACACACCCTCAGGCACACACATCCTATTTGCCCAAGTGCCACCTACAACATCTCGTGTCCTAATGAGGGAAGGAGCTGCAGAGTTCATTTATGCCATTTTCGCAGTGCTCCAGGCCCGTGCAGCACGGGGTAGAGTCCCCCAGCTGTTTCCTGGTGAATGAGTGGGTAACATAACACAGCGAAGCTGCGGTCCTGCAGGGCAGAACTCTGGTATGGTGGCCTGTGGGACCTGTCTCTGCAGCATAGTACTGAGGGAGGTGACTGTGAGATGGGAAGGAAAGAAGAGCAACATCTGGCCCTTGTCGGATTGTGTAAGCCACTGGGCTGGCAGCCAGATGTGGCCACAGCCACCAGCAGGAGGGAGACATCAGAGGCTCGCCCTGGGATTCTGGGAGGCCTGCAGATGTGGCCAGCTGGAGAAACACCCAAAGGCACAAGAGGACTCTGGGATCTGAGGACATGTGGGTGGGAGGGAGGATGGGTGGCTACCAGGGTCCACCTTCCCCGGAAGCAGCCTGAGCCTCAGAGGCGCTCAGCCACGCTGGGTGGGCAGAAGGCATCTGTCCTGCTCCCAAAAGCCAGTGCTTTCCCCCTTGGCTCCCAGAGGCCAAGGTGGGTGCAGGCCAGGGGGGCAGGGACAAAGAGGTGGAGCTGTCACTGGTTACCCGAGGTCCCATAAAGGGTCCCACAGAGAGAGAGGCAGCACCAGAAGTGGTGAATGCCACTCTCTAGACAAGAGCAGCACCCCCAAATCTACTTGGCGCTGTTTCCCTGCAGACCATATTTAACTTCCTGGAAAATTCCAAAGGATGCCCTCATCTGTCCCACTCTCTCAGTGGCTCTGCTCCCCAGTAGCTTCCTCTTCCTGACTTCATGACATGTGACTTGGAGTCACCTAAGGAGGGCAGCAGTGGGGCTGGGGGATCCAGAACTGGCTCTCCAAGCTTTCCTTCTGCCTGGTGCTGCCGGCCTGAGAGCCCATCTCAGTCCCTCCATGTCTAGCATGAGGCCTGAGGAGCTTCTGGCAGTTGTCACTGTCCCCCTCTGTGTACTGGGGACAGTGAGGATAGCCCCCTTCAGGATCACTAGGAGGGAAATGTCCCAGCACTGACTGCAGTACCTGGCAGCTAGCTAGGTCTGAAAGCTGCGTCCTTGTCACAGAGCCCTTCACGCAGGAAGCTGTACCTTAAACAGGGCTCTCAATTCCAGGGCTGGGGGAGGCATGGGGGGCTGCTTGCCTCCACTTTGGAGTTGGGGTCTGTGATTTTATGCCCCTATGCTTCTCTTCTCTGGCTGTGGTCTGGAGACTTTGGAGTACAAAGGACTGTCACCTCCCCACTTAGACTTCAGCTGGTGTGACTGAGGTGCTTGCAGGTCTCTTGGCCAGACACTGTAACAAGCAGTGCGGCCGGAGGAGTTTCACACGGGCCAGGATCCTCGTGCTTCTGTTGCACTGGGGCAGCCTGAACACAAAACTTTTAAGTTGGAGTTTTGGGCTTATAAATGACGAACTCTAGCGATACCCCTGGCTTTGGGCAGAGGCTTTACCCACCACTCATGCGACTCCTTCTTCACACCTGGTCTCTTTTCTTGCCCACAGGGCGGCAGGAGGCCAGTGCCCAACCCCTCCACGAGCCCAGCTGGAGTCAGGGGACAAGAGCGACGAACCCAAGGATAGTGGCACCCGAGACCCCCATGCCACTCCCGAGGGGCCTTGGCAGTCAGACAGCAGCTGGGGGAGCAGAGCCCTGGACGAAGGTTTGTCCCTGTTGCGAGCCTCCCGGCCTGGTGCCCGGCAGGGGTGGCTGCCCCAGTCCTGCTCTTGGGGCCTGCCTGCCTGTCTCCCTGCTGGGCTAGTGCTGCAGCTGCCCCTAGAGAGAGCCTGGGTCCTCCACCCCAACACACACTGCTCGGGCTAGGATGCTCGCCCCCAGGGGCCCTTTCCTGGGGCCACTGTCGCAAGGACCTGGCCCTGAAGCACCAAGTGGATGTGAGGCCACCTAGAGGGCGCTGCACAGGTGCTGTGTCCCCATGTGCCTGGAGCCCCTCCCCTGCCCCGCCTCACAGCACACTTACACATTCAAACACACACACACACACACACACACACACACACACACACGTGTGTGTGTGCGTGCGCAAGCACGTGCATAGGGACACAGCACCAGGAAATTCCCAGAAGGGAAAACAAGCCATTAGTACTGGAAACACACTCATAATCAAGAAGTTAAGAAAGCTGTGGTTCTGTCTGCTCCAGGATGTGTGTGTGTGTGTGTGTGTGTGTGTGTGTGTGTGTATCATGCTAGTGCTTCGCCACTGGCTCTGCTCCCACCTGGCCTGGTCTTAGTACTTCTTAAGTCAAAACAGATGATTCCTGAGCCCCTCCAAAGAAAAAAGGCAGGCAGGAGCCCTGGGTGTCCAGGGTCAGGCCTCCCTGAGTCTGAGCTCCCTGAGCAGGCCTAGTGGCCAGGGGCACCCAAGAGCTGTTACACAGACACCAGGCCACCCGCATAGGGGCAGGGAGCACCTCAATACAGGGATTTTCAGTCACTGTAGCTGGTCAGTCATTGCTTGTCCACAAATGTCAGACCATTTCCCTAAACTAGCACAAGTTCAAAGCAACTTAGCCGTTCATGTAAGGCAAGAGTCCTTGTAGGTCCCAGGCCCAGGCGCAACATCTGTGCCGCACAGGGCCTGGACCTGTGCATCCCTCTGCCTGGAGTCATGGTGAGTGGGAACAGCTCCTGGCGGCTCTCATGGCCACGTGGAGTCCTCAGCCCTTGCTACATCTGCGGCTATGGCCAGGTGGCCTGCTGAGGCTGCCCCTAGGGAAGGGACCAGACAGGAGAACACAGGGTGGGCACAGCAGACCCCAGGGGTCCTAATGCCCACAGCTCAGCAATAAGACACAGTGACGCAGTGACTACCAACCACAGATGGTCACACATGAGATACCCCCTTCCTGCGCATTCCCCAAATGTGAGCACTGAAAACTCCGCCTGAGCACACCCAAGCTCTTAGGGGACAGCCGGGCCTTCCCTGACCGAGGTCAGCGTGCCCTAGAGTGGAATGCTCACCTTTCACCCTCAGTCCTGGCCTGAGTCATCTGGCTAGATGGGGTATCCCTCGTGGAGGGGACAGTGCCATCCGTGGTGGCCTGACCCTACAGGAGAGCCCTTTCCTCTGAGCTCTTGAGGGGTCTTCTCTTCAGAGTGTGGCTGTCCACCCTCCCAAACCCCCCATCCCTGTCCCTGCAGAAGACGAGCAGCTGTTCCGGTCTGTGGAGGGCCAGGCTGCCTCTGATGAAGAAGAAGAGGAGGAGGAGAAGTGGCGGGAGGCGGAGAAGCTGGTGGCTCAGGCAGAGATGCAGCCCTTGGCTTGCGTGAGCAGGTACGTGCAGAACCTCGAGGGGCTGGGACCTACTGCTGTGGGCCCCAGGTCAGCACACATGCCCAGGGACCCCAGGACTCCAGGAAGGTGCGTCCCATCTGCTGTTTCCTTCCTTCAGTGACAGCTGAAAGTAGGAGGTGAGGGCCCTGGTCTGGGGCTCCCCTGCCTGCCGGCCCCTAGCACTTGTGGTGTCAGAGGGAAGAGAAGAAACCACAGCGTGACCGAGTGAGGAGCAAAGGAGATGGTCTTTGAGGACAACCACCCTCTAGACACTCCACAAAGCTCTCCTGTCACTCTCAGGCCCTTTGCCAACCCTGTCCCTGTGACACTGTGTGCCCTGTTGCCCTGTCCCTGCTGTTGCTTTCTTATCCACGCACAGCTTTAATCCTTGTGGCCAGTCTGGAGGGGAACAGGGACAGGTGCAGGGGTCCTTGGGTACCTCTGACCACTCATCTGATTTCTCATCTTGATGGTGGGACAATCACACAGGCTCTGTGCGGAGTCCACATCGGGTTGTAAAATACCTCGAAGGTGTCCGATGCATGGTCGAAGACCTGTAGTGCACTTAGGTTCTGAAGTGCTGTCCGTTTCCTGGAGTTGTCACCGATTCCTTATGTCAACAGCAATCACTTATTAAACACCTATCACGTGCCAGTCATGCTTTGAGAAAATATCAGTCAAGACAGTAGTACTGTCTGGGTTCTCTATCAAGTGAGT